CAGCAAGCTGCGCCCCGAGGTGCTCCAGGACCTGCGCGAGAACACTGAGTTCACAGACCACGAGCTGCAGGAGTGGTACAAGGGCTTCCTAAAAGATTGCCCGACGGGCCATTTGACTGTGGAAGAGTTCAAAAAAATATACGCGAATTTTTTCCCCTACGGCGACGCGTCAAAGTTTGCGGAGCACGTCTTCCGCACCTTCGACACCAACGGCGACGGGACGATTGACTTTAGGGAATTCATCATTGCCCTGAGCGTCACCTCCCGGGGCAAGCTGGAACAGAAGCTGAAGTGGGCGTTTAGTATGTACGACCTGGACGGCAATGGGTACATCAGCCGCGGGGAAATGCTAGAAATAGTGCAGGTGAAGTGTTGTTTCTGTTTTGTATTTTATTCCTGTTGCTGTAACCTCTTCACCCTGAGACAGCTGGAGGTGGAGATGAGGGATGTGCTGAGCCGGGTCCCTCCTGCCCCAGGGAGGCTTCTGAGCCCATGGTCCCCAAAAGGACACTGGGGCCATGGTGGAACCTACGAGGGGCAAATGAGGAAAGAGCCTGAGAGACAAACAGGATGCTGGGCAGCTGCCCTGCAGCCGAAACCTCGCAACTCTCCCTGGGGATTTCTCAGTTGAGTTGTTGATGGGATCAAGAAAAACCTGAATGCAAATTCTACTGACCTGGTTAATCTCAGAATCAGTACTTTGAAACTTCAGATCTGAGTCAACCTGAGCTCCGAATGAAAGGCTCTATGTAGCACGTCTTCATCTCCTGAAGGCTGGGGGTCCGTAGCCTGTGGGCTGTACCGGGGAGGGGGTGTGGGGCAGAGCCCCCTGGGCCCCTGCTCCGCGTGCCTGCTGGAGCTCAGGCTCGGCAGTGGGATGCTTGCCATTCAGGAGGAGGGCTAGGACTGCAGATGTCCTAAAGAGGTCTTGTCTTTATTCGCATTCTTAGAAGTCTGAAAATGCGTTTCCCCACCCATCCACAAAGAAAAACAACCCCTATTCCTATATATTCATATTCACCTGTAATCCATACAAGATGTAACTGAGTGTGTGTTGAGAGCCAGCCGAAGAGGCGATGGCTTAGCCCAGTTGCAGAAAAGAGAATTACACACCACTGCCTCCTGTATTTTAGCTCAATTCTGCTCGTACATTGATCTAGACCCTGACTTTCAGTTAAACTGACCCAGCGGTGCGGGAGCTTCTTTTGAAGTGTGAGTGAATACGGGAGAGAAAAATAAAAAAAGCTGCAGTCAGAAATCCTTATTTGTTTTGGTTTATAAAGTCCCACAGCTGCCTGCCAGGGTCAGCTGCCTTTTTTTTGTTGCTACAGGCTTAAATTCTTTCTCTCAGTCCTGGTGCTTTATTGTTTGGGTTGTGTTTTTCCTACATCTTCTTTCTTTTTTTTTTTTTTTTTTAATGCTCAGGCAATCTACAAAATGGTTTCATCAGTAATGAAAATGCCGGAAGATGAATCCACTCCCGAGAAGCGAACAGACAAGATCTTCAGACAGATGGACACAAATAATGATGGTAGGATCTCCACTGACACCCCTTCATAGACTCTAGAAATACAAGTTTTCTAGCTTAGTGTTGGTCAAAGCAGATGATGGTATTTGGCGGGAGGGGCAGGGGTAGAGGGTAGGGCTGTCCCCACCGGTACCTCTGGGCTCTGCCTGGCCTTGGTGAGCATCTCTGCTCCATAACAAATAAGGTGGGTAATTAGGCAGTGGGTGAGAGACTTTTCCTGCTGGGAGGATGAAGGGATGGGAGGAGAGCAGTCCTTCCCCAATATTTTGTGGTTAAGTCCCCTTCTGCAAAGGCTCCTCTGAAACTCCCAAGTCCAATGTTTTTGGGTTACTTTCTTTGGGCGTAGCATGAACTAGGCATGAGGTTTTGCTCCCAGTGCCCTTGATAGGATTGCACTCCTGGGCTTGTCATCAGTAACGCGGGTCAGGGATGTGGCTGGGTACCTGAAAGCAAAAATTCCCCTGAGTCCATAACATTCCTTTTGTGTGCGTGTTTATGGCATGTGTACATATACGCACGGTCACACGCAAACCTGCAGTGTTTACTCGGTGGCAGTGTGCATGTTGGGGGGATGGAGCAGCTCCTGAGCCAGTTGTGGAGCCACCTGATAAATTACCTGACAGTGTACCCATCACGACCCCTCCACCTGAGCCTAGCTCATTTCCTTAGGCTCGAAAAACACAGGTAAAATTGAGCAATTTCCTCTGCCCATCAGCCTGTGACGTGTTTCCTCTCATCCCAGATGAGGTGGAGCTTTCCCTGGGAATTACCCTGGCAGCGGCCCAGGTGGCAGCTGCCCATGTCGAAATCGAGAGCTGTATCCTGCTGATGTGCTCAGTGGGAGCAAAGAGTTGGTTCTAGCACTGAGATACGGAGACCTGGAAAAATAGAATCTTATACATAGAAAGGTTTTTATTTAAGAGAATTTTATGGCTGCGTTTTGGCATCTGCTGCCACAGCCCCTGGGGAAATTCCTGGCCTTGCCGAAGTCCTCAAGTATTTTGCCTTGGACTTCGGCAAGACCAGCACTTCATCCCTGATTTCACATGTAGAGGGCCCTAAAATAACATGATAAAAGTGTTTTTTGTTCTGTGGAAACTAGTGACACATGGAGATATGTGACACCATAGTGGTCACAAAGCCTGCTATATACATCATCATCTGTTGCGCTTGGTTGCTGGAATAAAGTCATCCTGTTCCCAGTAAAATACCAGCCCTGCAAGCCATGCAGTGCTGAGCAATAGAGTCTGCGCAGGGGGAAGTCTGCTCTCGGTGGCTGGAAATGTTTCTTCTTCCCCATCTGACTGTTGGACGTTGCAAATGGATTTTGTTTTGTTCTTTGCCTTTAAGTATTGCAAGGAGAGGGGATAACTAATAAATATCCTGATAGTTATGAGTACTCTTTCTGAGGCTGATAAAAACTTCAGAAAACACTTGGTTTGGGAACATTAGCTTAAAATCCAGAAACTAGCACAGAAGCGTGCCATGGGTTTTTGAGCTTCTGTAATTTCTACAAGAGGAAGGTTTGCTCATTCCTCCCTACTCGACCTGATTCAAGTGCTGGCCACCAAGCTCGGTCCTCTCCCCATCCCCACGGCAGGCTGGGAGCATCCTGTGGCTGGTGAAAAACAGTGCGATGAGCTTGTCTCTCCCTCCTTTTGGGGGCACGTGGTCAAAAGTGGCAGCAGGTAGCTGCCAAGTGCAAGATGTTTGTGCGTGGGTCCTGGCCGTCTGAAGCCGAGCAGTTTGGGTTGGGTAAGGATGGCCTTGTGGTGTTGTGTGGGACTGGGAGTCGGTTGTGCTGGGAGCCTGAGATAGATGGGAGATCATCAGGTACGGTGTCAGGGACACAGCAAATGCTTGTCTCCTCCAGTTCATAGGGAGGACTGTTTCCTTTGTCATTAATATTGCTACGGCTTATTTCTGCCGTGATTCAGAGTGCTGGAGCAGGAGAGCATTGGTGATAGCAGGCAAGGCAGAGTCCGCTCACAGGCTCCCGATGGCATGTGTGCAAGGGACTGATCCTGAGCTCAGGACGAACCTGTCAGGAGGCTGAGTCACCCCAGGATGAGGTCTGGGAGGCCAGATGGGATCTTTCCTCCTTGCTGTACCACATGCTGTGCCACGGGACTGTTGGAGTCAAGGGATGCCAGGGTGGTTGCTTCTCCTGGTCGCTCCTCCAGGAGGAGCAACCACCTTTTCAGACCCACAGACTCTTGGAGGGTCCAGCCAAATCAGTACATCTGGCCTAAACCGAAAATATATAAACCAGAAACGCTCAGGAGTGACACGTGGCACTAGGTGACTCCCCCACAGATGGCTTTTCTTGCCGCCTGAGCCTGAAACAAGTCCTGTTCCTGTACACCTGCAGGGCACAGAAAGTGGCTTGTAGAATCATAGAATGACAGGGTGGTTTGGGTTGGAAGCGACCTTTAAAGATCATCTAGTCCAATCCCCCTGCCATGGGCAGGGACACCTTCCACTAGGTCAGGTTACTCAGAGCCCTGTTCCAACCTGACCTTGTAGGTGCAGGAGAAGCCATCGCTGCTCAGCCCTACATGTCACAACAAAGCATGAGGGTGGAAAGTGGGAAGATTCAGGATATTTAGGTTTAAAATATTGTATTAATATAAGCATTATTTTCAAAGCTTATGTGTGTTCAAACACCATACCTTGCGTTCATGTGTCATGTAATTTGTATAGTCCAGTTCTGGGCACAAAGCTGTCCAATGAGATTAGGGCAGTTGTGTTTATATTGAGTACTGTCTTTTTAAATAAAAAAAAATAACAATTATTATGCTAGATTGTTTTTCAGAAGAAAAATGCATCTGGGCTTAAGGGCTTGAGTAGGATTTGACTGCTGTGCATTGCACTAAATTCCCCTCAATGCCTTTGCGGTAGATTAAATATACGTATGTTGCTTCGGTGAGGAGGGGATTTTTTCAGCTACGGCGACGGCAGCAGCAGCAACTGACTGTTTTTTTTTTTTTTTGAATTATTTCCATTTTGTTCTTCCTCCCTTTCAGGCAAACTGTCGCTGGAAGAGTTCATCAAAGGTGCCAAGAGCGATCCCTCCATCGTGCGGTTGTTACAGTGCGACCCCAGCAGCGCGAGCCAATTCTGATAAAAGCGGACAGTGCGCACAGAGAATCTCGGCTCGTGTCCTTCAAGCTTTGCTCGCAAATGGATGCCTTCTCAACCATCCCTCCACACTTCGCGGATAAGATCCCATTGCCAGATCGTGTGTGCGTGTGTCTGAGCGAACCAGCCCTCGCTCCCCTCACTGACACCAGTGCAGCTCTCCTTTGGCAGCTCCGTTTTTGCTTCCCCGTAATGTTACGATTCACTCTCCACGTTGTAAACGTTAATGGAAAGGTATGTTTACATGCAGCTACAAAAGAGTTCAAATCGCTGGTGAGATACCACTTCACTTAGTCCGTAAGAAAGGTGATGTTCTAGTAGTTCCCGAGAAGATGCTAGGTAGGACTTTTACCCCAACATAGCAGATGGTAGATAATTTATTTTGCTTCAGAAATGACTATGTACAAAGAAAAACAAAACAAAAAACCGGACTGAATGGAGTAGAAAGTTAAAAAAAAAAAGAAAAAGAAAAAAAAAAAAACAGCTTTCCTGGGCAGGGTTCCAGTTTTCTTTTTGAGGAAAATTACTTGCACTTATCTAATGGTCTTTACTTTCTTTTAATATATATATAAATTATATATATATGGTGAAGTAAAATTTTAAATATTTAGGTCATCTATTTAAGGCATAAAGTAGAATTTGAGCTTTGTTTCTTCTAGTCGTCTGTGATTTATTCAAATCTTGGAGATGGTTTTTTTTTGTGATATTTATGCATTAGCAAATTGCTGTTCCGAAAGACATGCATGACTAGCAGTTTGTGGATATTTCACTCTGTTTAATTCCTGAATGCAAATATTTGTTCATTTTTACTGTCGATCGTTCCAGCATTACTGTATTAACAAAAGACCTGAAAGGAGTTCATCCTCGTTTTGTATTTCTCAGTGGAGTCCTACTTTCTGGTGGTTGCTGCGTTAAATGGCTTTTGAGTGCCCTGAGGTGATGTGACTCGCACTGCTGTTCTCAACTTGGCTACACCTCCTCCCTTTTGCTGTCGATATGTTAATAGTCTTGTGCATTCCAGTGTTATTTAATATCTGCCTAATGCCAAGAAATATTAATTGAAATAAAAGACTACTTTTCTTGTCACTGCCTGTCTTGGTCTAACCCATGCAACAAGTTCCTTGCATCGCGTATTTGGGGGAAGGAAAGGGCTGGCTCCTTGCCTGACCTGTCCCTGTCTTGTCCAAGATCTGCTGCCTTGTAAGTACAAGGTTTTTTTGGGAGCCCGCTGTGGCTGGGTTAACGCAGCGGTGTTAGTGCCTGTGGGATTCTGCTCCATCACAGTTGGGTCCTGGGTGAAGGCAGTTCCTTGGTGGAGACACCTTCCAGGAAGGTGACAGCTCAGTTTCTGCTGGATGTGGAGCAGCTCAAGGCGATGAAGGGAAAGCTGCTGACCCTGCTGGCTGGGCTGTCGTGATCATCAATTTACCAAATAAAAGTATCGTGGTCCTGTCAGGTACCAGGTACGTGCTGTTGGAATAACATTTGACATCTGTGGCATGGAAAGCGGCTTTTCCCACGTTCGTGAGGTCTGCAGGTAGTTACTTAAGCCTGTCCTCTCTGCAAAACGAGGTATCAACAAATGATTTGGCCTGAGGTTAATGTTATGCATGTAATTAAAGGAATTTTGTTGTGTGGAATGACCTGGTAGTGGTTAGGTGTTAATACTTTAATATTGAATAAAAGAGAGGAGGATGGTTGCAGTATCCAAATGGAAATGCATTGTTAGGTCAGACTCAGTCTGCAATACAGGCTTGTGTCAGTGCTGCCGAGCAGAAAAGTGTGTTCATTTTTTTTCCTAGGAATTCAAATTTCAGCTACTAAACCAACAGTCCTTTCAACCGCAACACCCTGCTGACAAGCGCAGCCCTGAAAGGGGAATTAGAAGCCACTCCACTTTCCTTGGGTGAGCCCAGGGAAAAAAGAAAACTGTTGGAAAAAAAAATAATAATGCCATGGTTGCTTATAGTCTGTCTCCAACCTATTCGTGTTCATGTTCGTGCTGGCTGGCTGGCTGCCAGAGGATGCTGTGGTGGTAAAGATGCTGCGGATGTTCTTGCGCTAGTGGCTCTTCTGGCACGGGCTGGGTGGTGGTTGTTTAGATGCGAATCGGCCACCGTGGGCTTTATCATCTCTCTGCACTTGGAAGAATGTGGAAGTGGTGCCTCTGAGAGGGACCGCAGCATTTGCATCTTGTTTGTGCGATCTTAAAATGAGTCAGGCATATTTTTAGTCAAGCATTGCACAATATCCTTTTCTTGGGTGCCATGGATGTAGAAACTGTTTTGCTGTAGCGTCCATAAATGCAGCAGTTCTTCTGTCATCATTCATCCGCTCTTGTAAGTGGGACTTTTGTCACCTTTTCCACCTTTTCATGACATCTCTCCTCTGCTCGTTTCTGTCTGTAGTGAATAGTAAGTTTAAGTAGCTGTTTAACAAAGCCCAAACTCTTATCATTTGAAAAGAAAAAAAGCTCCTTACAGAAGCTCATTTTGACCTTGTTTTTGCAGAAGTGAAATGAAAGAGTCTGAATTTGAGGAGTCAAAAAATTCCCATTTCTTTGACTTTATAATTTTTGCTCCAAGTATCATGCCAATGTATCCGCAATGGGGTTTGCTTCCCACCGCGGGCTGACAAGCCCCTGAGCAGCCCCGTGCAGATATTGGGATTGTCCTGCTTCCCCCAGCTCAATTTCTTCTGCCTTTCTCTTTGTCTCTTAAAACTTTTTGTGTCTCGGGGTTTATTTTTTTCGGCTGTCCCCCACTTTTCCCAGCTTTTAAGGAATTTCTTCTTTTCAGGGCAGGGTAGGTCGGCTCTGTTTTGGACTGGGTCTGGCACAGAGTGTGCGAGCAAGGTGCACCCAGCTTGCCTGTTTGAAAGCAAGAGAGGAAGATGCCCAAGAAGGGTGGTTGCACATGGCATCCCAGGGGAGCCAGGGAGATGTTCTGAAGCCCGACGGGGCTGAGCTTTTCAAAGGTGGCTTCTGATACGGGGACCCTTTTGATTACAAGCTAGCTAAGTACTGGCAAGGGCTTTATTTGCTGCTGCCAAGGAGCTCTCTTAAGAAAATCAGACCTGCTTCAGAGGCTGAAGTTGTGAATCCGCAGTCACTAGGTAACTTTGAACATCTTGGCTGTGCTTTGAAGAGCTTCTCTGAGGACACGTTGCTTCCCTGGCTGCTAACGAGGACTGGGAGGGGAGAGCAATCTCCCGGCTTGTCTTCCAGCATGTGTCATTTAAGAGTTGATCCCAGCCAAGTTCAAAACCAAGGAGGAAGCCTGGAGAAATCAATGAGCTTTACTGCTCGTTGGGCTCTGGAGATGTCTTTTGGGGAGGGACCGGTGCGTAGGGGGATTAGTCGCTTGCAAAATGATGTCCAAGTGATTAACAGAAAGCTTCAACTTGTTAAGTGACTTTGGTGTTTTGGTGAATTGTGTGTTTAATCAAAAATAGAGTCTAATTTAGCGAAAGTTGTTTAGCACAAAGGACCCATCAGCAGGTCCATTTTTACCTTGCTTTAATAAGCTGCGTAATTATTTTCTCGCCACCAAGATATCTAGCGCTCTGAGCTCTGGCTAATTACTGCATGAATTCAGGCTTTTCTGTATGAATTGCAGGTGCTATTAAGCTAATTCAGAATTATGTCATTGCCTTTCAAATTAAGTTAGTGCCTGTCTGGTTGCAGCTTAACTCGAGCCTGGGTGGCGGAGGTGCTTGGATTCGGTTTTGTGTTTCTCTGTCGCCAGGTTTGCATTAGCCCTTTGTTTTTGAATAAGGTCCTTTGCAATGTATTTTTAGCATTAGCCTCTGAGTAATGAACTCCTGTGAAGAACAACGTGAGCATATCTGCAGCCACTGGGCAGATGGTCTCCATGGATAGTCCCCAATCCGTTATGCAGAGCACCCAATATTCATATTTAAAGGTTAGGAACAGCCATTGACTTTAATGATCCAGTGGGCAGACTGGCATTTTGAGATCCCCAGGCTGCGTGATGGCAGATATATTGCTGATGAACCCGATAATTGCCATTATCTCTTTTGGGAGGGGAGAAGTTTCACTGGAAAAAAGAAGGAAACAGGAGGAAAAAGGAGAGCAGAGCATCTCTGTGTGGAAGCTCTGGAGATGTCCCTGCAAGCAGACCTTACCTGTTGCCCCTCTGTATGAAGTGTGATGGTTTGGACTTGGTCACACTTTTGAACACTCTCTCATGGTTGCTGTGGTTAAAAGATGGGCAGTGCATCACCAGAGGATTGGGTTAATCCCAGGCCATGCCACACAAGCCAGAAACCGCTAGCCAGAAGAAGGAGGCGAGGAGCTGCAGTGGTGGCTGTCTGGTGTCTTCAGAGATAGAGGTAAGCCCACGACCAGTATTTTAAAAGGCTAACAGCAGGCTGACTCTCCCTGATGAAGGAACAATTTATTCCAAACAAATGTGAAGGTGGGAAGAAAGGTGCCCTTCTTGCTCTTCCTTATGCACATTCCCACACCTCAGCATTTGGTGCTACTGGGGCTTGGGTGGGTCAGGGCTGACACCCTGGGTCATGCTCAGCTTCCTCAAATCCTCCCTGCCTGTACAGCTACAGCTCTGAGCCCCTCTTTGGTGTCTTCTCTACATGGCTCCTGGTGCTGGGAGCTGCAGCACCAAACCTCTGGACACTGCGAGCTCCAGCTCTGCTTTTGGGCCCTGCACCAGCATGGTTTTTACTTTTCCTGCACTGTTTTGCCCCAGACCTTGGCAGCTTCCTTTGCTGTAACTGCGTCTGACGTGCAGCAGTACGAAACTCTACACATAAGGCAGGTCATGCTTCAAGTCTGAGTTGTTCACAGATGCATTATAGCAAATACGACAAATTGTGTCTCGGATGAAGATTACCTCTGCGTTCCTGCTGCTGTCACCAGGCTGTTCTGCAGGTGATGAGGTCTGAGTGAGGGAACCTGTTCCTCCCCGGTGATGCTGACTGTACCTGCTCTTCCCCGGCCGTGGGGATGGAGTTGGGCTGCAGAAGAGAGCAGGAGCGGGGACAGGTCCTGCCTAAGGGTCCCATCCTGTGAAAGACACCCACAGCGAAAACTTTCATGTCTTTCCCAGTCTGGGACACAGGCATCTTTCCAGTCACTATTTCCATTTAGTTTCAAAGTGAAAAAAGTAATATCCTGAAAGCCCAGTGCAGGTACAGATTCAGTCAGGGTCAAATCCAGGCTTTCCCCGGAGAAAAGGAGGCTGAGGGGACACCTGATCGCTCTTTACAACTACCCGAAAGGAGATTACAGTGAGGTGGGTGTCGGTCTCTTCTCCCAAGTCATAAGCGATAAGACACCAATAAGTGATAAGACAAGAGGAAACAGCCTGAAGTTGCACCAGGGGAGGTTTAGACTGGATATTAGGAAAAATTTCTTCACCAAAAAGGTTGTCAAGCATTGGAACAGGCTGCCCAGAGAAGCAGTTGAGTCACCATCCCTGGAGGTATTTAAAAGATGTGTAGACATGGTGCTTAGGGACATGGTTTAGCGGTGGACTTGGCAGTGTTAGGTTTGAGGTTAGACTCGATGATCTTAAGGGTCTTTTCCAACTTGAACGACTCAGTGATTCTGAGTCTGAAGTCCAGCCATGTGGCTGTGTGCAGTTTGTTCCAGCCTGTCCTCACTAGTGAGACCAGCCATGTATTTCTTCTGTGCACTAAAACAACTCTAATGCATTCCTTGACTTGTCTGCATAGGAGAAAAATGCAAACTGCCATGTCTAGCTGGCGTCTCCAGTGTGGGTACATGCAAGAAGAAACACCCCCTTACTCCCAGGTGGGGTTTGGTTTCAGCCAGTACCACACTGAGCACTCCTCAGTGGTTGAGAGATCCAAAGGAAGTATCTGACAGGCAACTTCTCCAGGGTTTGGTCCTTCTCACTGCTGTGGGACCCTATGTTGCTTCTGAGGACTTTTCTCCTGCATCTTCGTCATGGTGGTGGCTGCAGGGACAGCCCACACTCCTTGCACTACGGCTGTGGCAGCTCGGGGGGAGGGTCTGCGGAGCGTTCCTCACCCAGGTCTTAAACTGAATATATAAATAAAGCTAGGCAAGAATCTGATAA